CCACTGATGGACCTCTGATCCAGATGCTTATCCAGTTCCCTCTTGAAGCCGTCCATGCTTGTAGCCGCCACCACTTCAATGCCAGTAGCTCACAAAGTAGGATTTATGCTCACAGGACTCCACAGCTTAGAGGGAGCATTGGTTGGAACCAGTGTTTCCCTCTAAGCTGTGTTAGTGTGAGCTAGCTCACAGATTTTAAGCCTCCAGCTCACAGATTTTTGCCTTTGCTCAGGAAGGATGGCTCCAGAGCAAACTAATTTCTGCAGCAGCCAAATCGCTCACTCACAACTTCAGTGCCAGTAGCTCACAAAGTAGAGTTTTTGCTCACAGGACTCCACGGCTTAGAGGGAGCACTGGTTGGGACCCGTGCTACGGCTGCGGCTCTGCGGAGAGCTGGTGAAATCTTCCCTCCTGTCCCATTTTGCTGACTGGGAATGCCTCCCCAAGGTTGTTTTAAGCCCAGGGGAGGCAGAAAGGACAAGTGCGGTGGGGTCGTCTGTTGGAACCGATTCAAGTTTTCAGTCTGCTCCAGTTGGTTTGGGTCAGGAGCGCCCCTGAAGTTCTGCGCGGAGACTCAACTTCCCAGACGCATGAGCCCAATTGAGATCCAAGCCAGCATCCCCCACCAACCCCCTTGTGTTGTCCTCCCAACCACTAATTTCTGCAGCAGCCAGATCGCTCACTCAGAACTTCAGTGCCAGTAGCTCACAAAGTAGAGTTTTTGCTCACAGGACTCCGCGGCTTAGAGGGAGCACTGGTTGGGACCCGTGCTACGGCTGCGGCTCTGCGGAGAGCTGGTGAAATCTTCCCTCCTGTCCCATTTTGCTGACTGGGAATGCCTCCCCAAGGTTGTTTTAAGCCCGGGGGAGGCAGAAAGGACAAGTGCAGTGAGGTCGTCTGTTGGGACCAATGTTTCCTCTAAGCTGAGTTAGTGTGAGCTAGCTCACAATTTTTTAGCCTCCAGCTCACACATTTTTGTCTTAGCTCAGGAAGGACGGCTCCAGAGCAAACTAATATATGCAGGAGCCAAATCGTTCGCTCACAACTTTAATGCCAGTAGCTCACAAAGTAGAATTTTTGCTCACAAGACTCCACAGCTTACAAGGAACATTGGTTGGGACCGATTCAAGTTTTCAGTCTGCTCCAGTTGGTTTGGGTCAGGAGCGCCCCTGAAGTTCTGCGCGGAGACTCGACTTCCCAGGCGCATGAGCCCAA